ACACTAGTTCCCACCATGTAATTGAGCATTGCGTGGCACATCCAACATACTGTTTTACTTTTGTCCATGACCGCTTACCTTCAGGGTCATGCTCACATGAAAACCAAAATAGTTCCAAACGCCAGATCTGAATGAGGGTGGGGGAGGTCCATGTTGCAAGGAGAGCTTAACTTCTGTCTCGCTAGCTTGCCCTGCGCTCAGTGAATCTGCGTTCGACTACTCCGCCTAGGCTGCACTGTCGAGCGCAGATCCACTGAGCGCTCAACACAGACAGCATCGTCAGAAGGAAAGTTGATAAAATAAATTAAAAATGTTGTATTGTTCGATACATATGCGTACCGAACCGAAAGCACTGTATCGAACGGTTCAATATCGATACGAGTATCGTTGCACCCCTGATATATAGATATATACACACACACATAGAGGTGTGTGTGTGTGTGTGTGTGTGTGTGTGTGTAAGTAAGGCACACTGGGAGCACTACAAACATGAAGATTAATCTCGGCAACAAATCTAACATTAAATTAACTTACCTGAAAAACCACAACTGGGCACACTTAGCTTGACAAAGCTACTTTTCAGTTCAGAGCAAGGTAACAAAATAACCGTATCCATCACCTACTTCATGTACAAAAACCTACACCCACACAATTTTGTGAAAAACAAGGGCTACTCTTATATGCACAAGAACCAGGGGACAGTGTCAGAAACACATGCAATAAGCAGTCTCTTGTTGTTGCTTCTGCCATCAGTGGAGAGCAGCAGAGTTACAACATACAAAGAGTTGCAATGACACTGAGTAAAAAAAACAAAAAACACATGTTCCTTCTCTGGCAACTGACTGTATTTTTCATCTTTTAGGGTTTTTTTTTTCTCTCTTCAATTCTCTCAGTGGTCGAGTCTGTTGACACTTCCTTTCCTGTTCAGGCCCACTGTTCAACCAATCAGCCTACAGACAGTCATCCCCAAGACTACTGGGGCATCCTCAAAGGTTTCATACCCAGAGTCTGCACATATCAGGACAATAACACGGGCAGTAAGCGCTTGTATGTAACACTGTAGCAGTGTGTGTGTGCAATTTGTGTGCCACAGTGGGAAGCCAGTGACCCACACAAACACGCTTCATACATACCAGCACTTTCTGACATCTCCATGGTGGACATCTTTTCAACAGCAACTAAAAGAGAAACAATGGTTACATTTAAGTTTAATGTGATCTTAATAGAGCCTGTTCCACAATCTTAAAAGAAGAGCATGTGAGTTTTAAAGCTGCAACTGGCTTAATAAGAAAACAGAACCGTCTTTGTGCCCCACAAGTAGCTCTCATTGTATCTTCAGAGGCCATCTGACGACAGAACCTGTAACAGTTTTACTGTTTTAGCTCCCGTGTGTGGGGCTCAATATGGGCGGCACACCGCGGATGGATGCAGGTGGTGTATGTACGCTTTCCTGTGATCGTCTCCAGAGTGCGTCAGATCATCCACGTCACGCCACATACTCATACTCACGCTCTTACTAATTTGTTCGCAGTGACGAGTTTAAGCTTTCCGCAAACACTCCCGGGAAAAGTGCCAGTACGGCTCCAGTTACTGCTCAGAATGACTGATCTCTTGGTTGTACGGCGTCGCTGACGCTAAACACCGAGGTTCCCAAAACTCAAACGTGAAAGCACGCCGGCTAACGACCATGCTAGTTGGCTACCGCCGGGTGGCTGAAACAAGCTAACGCCGGTTGGGGTGGTTACTATTTAATCAGTTATGACAGTATTTAACAAGCTGCAGAACAAGAGGCGGCTAGATGTGACAAGTTGAAAAACTTACAAAGCGCGAAGCTTACCACGAGAAGGATTAATAACCCGAACAACGTGGAAAGCAGCTAGTTTATCGCGTTTCAGGGAACGCGTGTCTGCAAAGCGGCTAATGAGCTAGCAGCTAGCAGCCCAGCCACTGCTAGCTCTTAGCTAACGCAACCCCGTGGTGCCCCTGTACTCACCGGCAGAGTCGACGTTTGCCGGGTGTGCTTTCAGGCCAAAAGCCGGAACAAACTCGGCGGCGTTTACATTGGGCACAAATGGCTTAGCGTTCACATTTAGCGTTGTGAATGCTGATTCAAGTTGTCCGTCGATCGTGGCCTCCACATCGTCTTCTTGTTCCCAGGAATCAGGGGCAGTGTCTCTCGGGTCCATCGTGGTTGTTGGATTTTCACCGCCGTGAGATTTGAGCTGCGCAGTTGTTGAGCCACACGAGCGTCCTCCCGAAACCCGACGACGCCGTCAGCCCTGGCAATGCTGGAGAGCGTCCCAACTCCAAGTGTGCCGTTTAATCTCCGACTCAAGTAAAACCCAGCAGCCGGTTTCTGTCTGACCAGACGCCACAGAGGATGTTCGACTCAGCACTCCCAGAGACTGTCCGCGTGAGCTAATGCGTCCCCACAACCGCCGGCTACCCGCAGTGACCCCTGGGATATGAAGTCTTATTAAAAAACGAGAGCGCGTCTGCTTCGAAAGAATTTTCACACTAAGAGAACTACATTCCCCGAAAGACTACGGACAGACGGTTTACGTCAAAAAATTTCTCAGCTTCGTAGAAACCGCAGATTCGAGTCAGATTTTGTTTGATTTTCTTGGAGTATGACTTTCGAAGGCTTATTCTTTCAACTTGATTAACTCGTTAATATGAGTTATATTTATTGTTTGCTTGAAGAAGACCTTATACTCGAGTACAAAAACACGCTAATGCACCCCCACCACACACACACACACACACACACACACACACACACACACACACACACACACACACACACACACACACACA